TTAGCCTTGACGATGGGATAGGACGGCTGATCTTTGATGCCGCACTCGCCGTCTTTGGGCACCCCGCGCTCAATGCGTACAAACCCATCTTCCCCCCACTGGGCTCCCCAGGAGTTCTTAACCTCAGCGATGACAACAAACAAAAGAATAAAAGTAAGCAAAGCATGTCCTAGGCACGTTCATGCTATGACCCCGTGCCTTCCAGTAGTCCACGCCATTCTCAGTGCCGTAGCCCACCACCAGCACACCGTGGTCCAGCTTCTTGCCACACTCTTTCGTCAAGATTCCGCCTTGGTAAAGCTGGAAGGCCTCCTGGTCTGCTTCGATGGCGACAGACACTGGCTGCTCGGATACGGCTTCCAACAGGGCGTCTGTATCCTGCGGCGTGACATCCTTGAAACCAACAATGGAGCCCTTCGGCACCGCAACCGTGCAATTTGTCTCCATGCAGGTTCCCTGCTTGGCAGTGTACGGATAGCTGTCCTCCGTGCACACATCGTACTTCTCCAAGTACTCAAAAGCCAGATCCATGGAGCCACCCGAACAGCCCATGTTGCCGTTCTTGGCACAGTCCACCAGCTGCTGTTCGCTCAAGGAGACGAGCTTGCCAGTGGCGAGCTGCCATGCACCTTCCAAAGCTCCCGTCGTGGAGAAGGACCAGCACGAGCCGCATTTTCCTTGATCCTTCGGGTCAGTCACAGCGCCCTTGCTCACCCAGTCCACTGCAGAGGGCACTGCGGCGCCGCTGTACCTCACGCTGACTCTCACACTCTGACTCGCACAGAAAGAGAGCAAAGGTGTGCTGCTGAGGCGCTTGTCCTCGCCGAGGTAAGGCAACCCAGACCAAGCTCGGGTTCCTTCCTTCATGCCGAAGTGACTGCTAGCGAATTCCTCCGGCTCCATGTCGGCAAACTCGTTGATGCCCAACTTGAAGGACTTGCCCTGGGCGTTGTGTGCCTCAATGCGGGCGAAGTTCTTGGCAAACGTGGCGAAGCGAGCTGCCCGCTCGGAGGCCGTGGAGTAGGTCCTGGGAT